CCAAAAACAATCTTTTTTTAGGTAGGTGGACCAGAGCTGCACAAAGCAGCCCAGGCAGAAGCCGGCCCTTCTGTATTAATTTTACATTTGTAATTAGTGAATTTAGTCTGTGCAGAATGTGCCAGATGCAGAGCACAGAGGCCTGAAGCCCTCTCTGTGCAGAGCAGTAGCAACACACACCTCCCCATGCCGCCCTGACAAGTACCTGATGTGGCGGGACCAGTGCGATAGTTAAGAGAAGGTAGTTCAGTCTGCGTGCCGCTAAGCTGTCTGCTCAGATTATGACAAATAGGGATGCTTGTTGTGATAATGGATTGAGAGTGGTGGACACTGGTTCGCTTGGAACTGGAGTGTGACCACCACTTAGTTTCACACAGGTCATTGAACAGCCATTGGATGACTTTCAGTGACTACTGACCTGAATTCAGAACAGTGACTGAAAAGTGAAAAGCTCCACACTTATTAACAATCCTCTAAGCTATCTAGCCACAACTCTTTCCTGCCCAGATGTGTACCGGGCTTGCAACCTATTCCAAATATTGAGCTGGAAAGCTGAGAAAAAATGCATTCCTCAGTGATTAGACAGAACATTCTGCATTAGTTGCAATGCTGACTCCAGCACAGAATATTTATATAAGGTACATGCTAGCAGGAGCCCCAACACTTGTGCAGAGATAACAGTTAGATTATTGATAGCTGAAAACTCCTACTCTCAAAATTCTATAAGTCATCTGCTCTGGTTGGTTTACAGAACACTTCTCTCAACCACACATTGTCGTCATGATTGACATCTGTTTTTCATCACCAAATGCCTCTCCACTGTAGAAGCATGCACTCAGATGCAGTACGAAATATCCTCAATCTCTGAAAATTCTCAGGGTAACAACAGATAGCTTTAGAATTCCAGAGGTGGTTTCAGACTCAGAAAATAAGAATCTGCAAGTGAAAGGCAAATTTTTGCAAGGTCACTTGTTAAAATTGTTTCACGGTAGACCTTGCCTTTGTTCAGTTTTATATTTTTATGGTTTTATTTATAATGCCATAGGCAGGCATCGGATGCTAACACCTGGTCTTTTATAGATTCCTCTGGGGAATATAGCCCCGAGCTCAAATATATAGTTACGGGTTCGTCAGGTGAACAAACAGAGATTCAATGTAACATATCCTATTGGAAAGGAGTTTTCCTTCTTAATGCATTTTAAAATTAAGAACATTTGTTATCAAAGCCACATAGTGGGATAAATCCTCTACTACTGTAAAATGAGCATAGCTTCACTAGCTTCAATTTCAACTGAAATCAATGGAACTATGTCAGTTCAGACCAGCTGCGGGCCTGACCTGTACGGGCAGACTAGAGTGCTCATTATCCATAGTAGTAAAGAAGCAAGCAGAGCTGCAGTTAGAGCCTACATTTTGGTGATCAAGATGACTGACCTCCCAGCACAAGAAAGAGAATACTCTAGTATTCAATTGGTAAACATCATTGGATTTGAGGCCTTTGATTCAAAACCTTTGGGCTATGGACACAGTTACAAAGAGAAAAATAAATGACTATGATAGCAAAGAAGAGGTTTCATCTCAAGAGTGTTGCATAACTTCATGACAACTGAAACTAATGTATTTGAAACAAGTTTGCTAGTTTTTATATATAAACAAACAAAAGACCCATCAGCTAATAGTACACATGCGTCAGAACTGTCTTTTTTTGTTTTGTGAGTCACATCTGTAAGCTAGTGAAATCTAATTATTTATGCCTTAGGGAAGAGAAGGAAAAAAAATATACCTGTTCTCTTTGGCGCATCGAATTCTGCAGCCTTCTTTTGGTATAACCAAGCCCAAATGCATCCTTAGCCTACAGTTAGTAGGACCTGTGTGAGGCCAAACATGAGTTCCTGGGTGCATGACAGAATACTTGATCTGCAAAGAGAGATACAATTCTTTAATAAGGTCATTTTCACTAACCTTTCATGAGAAGAACAGAACTTTACAGTTCTGATCCAAGATGACAGACCAAAATTGCTATATGCAGCATTGCAGTAACTGTGTCTATCTTAGGATATTAGAGAGACAAGGTGGGTGAGCTAATCTCTTTTAGTTGACCAACTTCTGTTGGTGAAAGAGACAAGTTTTTGAATGACACCAAGTTCTGCATCAGGTCTGGGAAAGGTCCATGCTGGCACTTGTGTCAGTATAATTTACATTGTTCAGGAGTTTAAATAATCCAGCCTCCTGAGCAACACAAGTTATATCAACACAAGTCTCAGTATTAACAGTGCTGTCAGCAAGAAAGTTTCTATCACCAACACAGTTACCACTGCTCATTGGGGGTAGATAATTATGTTGATAAGACAGCTCTCTTCTGTGGGCATGGAACAGCTACACGAAATATCATATAGCAGCATGGTTGCATCAGTTCAGCTGCACCACAGTAAACTCTTAGGCTGTGTCTGCACTACGAGTTTTCTCAGCAAAAAATATGTTAATGAGGGACTTATTTGCATGAGTCAATCTCATTTGCATATTTTCTGCTGATCCGTTTTTTCACTAGGGTTTTTGTGCAAAAACAAGCAGTGCGGACTTTTTCTTTTTGTGCAAAAACCCTTTTTCCCGCAAGATCTGATCGGGTTTTTGCACAAAAACCCTAGCGAAAAAATGGATCGGCAAAAAATATGCAAATGAGATTGTGACTCATGCAAATTAGTTCCTCATTAGCATATTTTTTGCCGAGAAAACTCGTAGTGTAGACGTAGCTTTAGTGTACACTTGGCCTAAGAGTGTCCACAGCTAAATACAAGATTAAACAGAGAGTTTAATGAAAGTAGTTAGCATATACAGGCAGTCTCCGGGTTACGTACAAGATAGGGACTATAGGTTTGTTTTTAAGTTGAATTTGTATAAGTCGGAACTGGCTCCAGATTCAGCTGCTGCCACTGAAACTGACCA